TGGGAGGCTGGGGTGGGAGGATTGCTTGAGGCCTGGAACTGTAGACCATCGTGGGCAACATAGGGATACTCTGTCTCGACAAATCTAAGTACAAATATTAGCTGAGCATTGTGGTACGTGACTGTCATCCTAGTGATTTTGGAAGCTGACGTGGAAAGATTGATCAAGCTCAGGAGTTTGAGGCTGCAGTGAGCTGAGATTGCACCACTGAACTCCAGCTTGGGAGACAGTGTGAGAACCTGTCTTTTAAGAACAACAACAACATAAGAGGGGGTGATGGGTAAGATAAAAAATACGTTGCCATTGGCCAACCAATCAAACTGTTTGAAACATGCTCTTACTCCCGATCCTGACCCTTTGATAATCCCTGGACAGAAAGATGGAGCCATTTCTGGTTGTCCAATGACTTAACCCCTTCGGCAATATATATAAGATCAACCTGGGGATAGTCAACGTTTGGCAGAAAAAAATTGCAATAGTCAACATTTAGGAGGGAAAAAAGCCTCTAAATATAAAAAATGGGAAAAAGAATAAATAAATATGTTTATTATATAAATTATAGAGAGAGAGATTTACTCGGTTTCCTGTATACATAAACAAAAATATATTTAAAATAGGAAAGGGATTATACAATTATATACACAAGAATATAAACATGACTTTATATTTTTCTGATGGCATTAGAGAGATATTTATTTTCTGTTGTTACTTTCTTGATCTTTACATTTTCTAAAATAAACATATATTCTTTTAAAACAAGAAACAAAAAGATACTGAAAATAAAGCTATGCAAAATTATGTTACATTGTATGAGAAAATATTATATTTATCATTTGCTACATATATTTTGAAATTTTCTATTGGCTTGCAAGAAATCAACTATGATATTTAACCATAGTACAAAAAAAAAAGAAAAATTGATATTATATGAGGGAGTCATTTTTTAATTTCCTACCTATAAAAAAGCCTATCTGGTAACCCTAAGGATCAATAAATGTTCATTACAGAAACATCGGTTGATCATTCATAATTCTTAATAATATTGGAATGAGAAACGAACATAGTTATAACTTCATGAAAATGTATCTCTACACACAAAATAAAAATTTCAGAACAAAACTGAATTTAATCAGTCATCTCTGGGAATTGGTTCCAGGACCCTGATAGATATCAAAATTTGTGCATACTTAAGTCCTGCAGAAAAGACACGTATATATGAAAAGTTAACCCTTCTCTTCTGTGGAATTAACAAGCTGAATGTGAACAAACAACTAAACAAATCAAATCAATCTATCAGAATAATAATCCAGATTTTAGTATAAATTATTTAATATTTCATCTTTTCAACTGATTTTCAGAATAATGTAAGTACAGCATTCTCAGAGTCTGATAAGACTTTCTGGATTACCTTGCTCTCTGCCTCAGTGAGGAAAGGTAGCTGTGTATGTGGAATCTGAAGTCAGATTAACTGGCCATAATATAACTCTCACCACATGCTTAATGCCCTTTGACATCCTGGTCTTCATATTAAGACAGTGAAGTAGGCAATAATATAAAACAGAAAATATTTCTGAAATACATGGCTAAGAGTCCAAATAGAATGTAACAGTTTTGTTTTATTTAGCTTTGCTTTTTAGAAAAGCATTCATAATTCTCTTACTTTACATTATTCATTAGTTCTTTATTAGCTACATCTGAGGTTCTCAGATTCAAGCTCATGTAATAAGTGTCATTCTTTGATAAAAGTTCTAACGTATCAAAGCTAAAGGAAAAATAATTGTTGAGATTTGTTCCATAGAACTAAATTTGTTCACTTAAAAGCCTTTTTTCTGGATTTATGTCCTTCCTACTTTGTGATATTTTTAACAAAATCATTTACTGTATGCAATACTAATATTTGAAAATATAAGTTTGAAAACAAAAAAAAAATTGACAAAATAAAGCTTACCATCTTTAAAAATAAAAAGTTGGTCCCCCATATGTGTGGATTTCTTTCCTTCAGTACTGTATTTTATTTCATTTTCTTAAGAAATGGAGTCTCACTCTTTCATCAGGCTGGAGTGCAGTGGCTTGATCATACCTCACGAAAGCCTCAAACTCCAGGGCTCAAGCAATCCTCCTTTCTCAGCTTCCTAAGTACCTGTGATTACAGTGAATAAAACTGTATTTTCTATCCACCTTTGCTTGCTGATGTGAAATCTACAGATACAAAGGGCTGACTATATATTTTTTTAAAAAAATTGTGACCCGGGCATGATGGCTCACTCCTGTAATCCCAGCATTTCGGGAGGCCAAGGCAAGCAGATCAAGCCATTCTCCTGCCTCAGCTTCCTGAGTAGTTGAGACTACAGGCGAACCACACCATAACCAGCTAATTTTTTGTATTTATTTTTTAGTAGAGACGGGGTTTCACCATGTTAGCCAGGATGGCCTCCACCTCCTGACCTTGCGATCTGTCCGCCTGGGTCTCCCAAAGTGCTGGGATTACAGGCATGAACCACCGTGCCTGGCCAAAAACAAATGATATTAAAGACTCTTCTAAGCACTAAGAAAGTAATCCAGTGGCTCTTTGTGAACACTCCTATGTACTAAGAAATAAATCAAATAGCTCTGTCTGAAAGACAGAGAGAGAGAGAGATCATCAGCTTAATTATTCATAAGTCATCCTGATTATTTAAAGGTGATATCTTTAAGGATATTACTTACAATACTTTTTTCTTCAATATATCAAGTGCCTACTGTGTCTTAATAAGCATTAGAAGCCAATGCAGAAATGAAAGAAAAGAGACAGATTTTCTTGCACCTAAAGAGCTAGTGAGGTTGTAGGGTGAGAAACACAAGTCAACAAGTCAAAATATAACATTCAAAAAGTGAAGCTGGCACAGTAGCTCTAGCGTGTAATACCAGCACTTCAGGAATCTGAAGCAGTAGGATCACTTGTGCTTAGGAGTTAGAGACCAGCCTCAGCGACAAAGTGAGAGCCCATCTCTAAGAAAAGATAAATAAAATTAGCTGAGTGTTTTGGCAAGTTTTGTAGTCTCAGATACCGGCTTAGGTGAAAGGATTGCTTGAACCTGGGAAGTCAAGGCTGCAGTGAGCTGATATTTCACCACACTTAGGCCTGGGTGATAGAGCAAGACCCCATCTCGAAAGAAACAAAAAAATTTTTTTTGATAGGGTGGCACATTGTGATAAGTGCTTTAGAGAAAAATACAGCAGGAAAGGAAAAGATAGAAAGTAGCATAGACAAAACTGAACTTTTAATATCGTATTCAGAAAAGATATAATATAGAATATCTGTGGGCAGATACCTAAAGGATGCTAGAAACTAAGGCAGGTGGTTATTTCATGTATTTTGGCTTTTTCCTAGCTTTTTAGGAAGCGATAACTACATAAAAATATCTCAATCCAAACTGATTATTTCTCCACACCATATTTGCCCCCATTGTCTATTATGAAGCTTCTGATATGAAGGAGAAGGAATGAGAATAGAGAAAATTTAAACCAGGCCTCAAGGTTGAGAGCAACTTATTTATGATCAGTAAAGTCTCATAATATGTATAGCAATTTAAACATGATAGGTGAGTTTTATTCTGTGTGAAATGAATCAAAATCTTACTCTTAATACTGAAAGTAAATATGACAAGAGTATATGGAGACCAGAGACAAGTGCTCTGTTGCCTTTAGCACAGAGCACAAGCAACACCTTTATGCTTCATTTCTTGTTTCTGAATATAAGAGGAGGGGAGAATGTCTGTCTATTGACCTTGACAGCGCCCTCCTGCAAATACTCATCCCTCATTTCCCTTGTCTTAGAATTCTCTTGATCTGCCCCTCCTTCATTTGATTGGCTCTGTGTACTTATGTTAGAATCAGAAATCTGGGGGAACTATGGCTTCTAAACCTATACACTGAACTCTACCCATATCCAGTCCTGTGACCTTATAAACCTGCTCAACTGAATTTTCCTCCCTTGGAAACTCTCTTCCCACTGAGTTTCTCTCCTCTGCTCCTAAAACCAAATGGCATCTCCTGTCCTATCCCTGGATGGTTTAACCCAGGAAAACTCCTGGATCCCAGAGGAGTCAGACAAAGAAACAGGAGCCTTATGGGTCCTGAGAGTCTCAAAGATATAAAGGGGACATCCTGAAATCTAGAGTTTCTTCCTTGCCTTTTCCCTGTCTTACAGTTTCTGCTGCTCCTGGGAGCTTTACTCTATCTCTCATCCAGCTCAGACTGTTGCTGGACCTGATAGTTTTTGCATAGCCAAGGTGGTTCTAGAAGAACTCTTGTCTGCACAAGGTCTGAGCTGCTTCTCCAGAATCTGCAGCATGGTTTTCCATGACTGCATGAAGATCTGGAGCCACTGGTAACTAGACAGAGAATGTTCTCATGTGTCCAACATGGCATGTCACTCCTCTCACGAGCAGTGGAATAAATGCATTCAGATGAACCCCTGTCATCATTATTTTGTCAAGTAGAAATACATTTCAATTAACCTTAGAGCAACATGTCCTACACTACCATGCCCAGGGAGGTCCCTGAGATGGAGCTTTCTAGACTTTCTCTCCATTACCCCTTGAGTTGGGTTGGGCAGTGCCAGGTAATATAGGAGGGAATCCTACATCCTGTGGTTGTTGAGAGAGCCTTGGAAGGCTTTATCCGGAGCATGAGGAGCAGGAGAAATATCCCTTCTGGAACGGAGACCAATGGTGTTCTTAGATTAAATTCTTACATTACAATAAAAATCAATCGTCTGGGTGTGGTGGCTCACGCCTGTAATCCCAGCACTTTTGTAGGCTGAGGCAGGCGGATCACTTGAGGTCAGGAGTTCCAGAAGCATGTAGCAAACATGGAGAAACCCACTCTCTACTAAAAATGCAAAAAAAAAAAAAAAAAAAAAAAAAAAAAAATTAACCAGTGACAGTGCCAGAATCCTTTCAAAATATATATATATAAAAATAAAAATAAAATTTATATTTTGAAGAAACTTAATCATCTATGTTAACACCCACCTACACCCTGTGAAATGCAATCAATTGGAAGAAAGGGGTGTGGTATTCAGAGATTTATAAAAGGATGCTTCAGGAGCCAAGCTCATTCTTCTCCAGAGCCCACAGAGCAACTTTGCAACTGGCCTTGGAGACTTCCAAAAGCTACCAACACTGCACTGTGAGACTCTCATCCCTGAGTGGAATCCATCATATTCGACAGCAAGCTTTGGTGAGAACATAGATACATTTCTGAGGTAAGTACACATATTCCAGAGTAGGAGCTACTATTAGGTTACAAACCACAACAAAATTTGGGGACTTTAATTTATCTGCAAACTTAGATTATTTTTGATGCAATGATCTCATTTTCTGAGTTTTAAAAATGGTTCCATTTCTTTTTTAAAATTATATTAAACATAATCCATAGGTTTATGGATTAAACATGGGCCGCCATGTTCAGCTATTTATTTTAATTAATTAATTAATTAATTAATCTATTTTGAGATGGAATCATGCTCTATTGCCAGGCTGGAGTGCAGTGGTGCCATCTTGGCCCATTGCAACCTCCGCCTTCCAGGTTCAAACGATTCTTCAGCCTCAGCCTCCAGAACAGCTGGGACTCTAGGCGCCTGCCACCACGCCCATCTAATTTTTGTAGCTTTTTTAGTAGAGACGGGGTTTCTTTATGTTGGCCAGGATGGTCTCGATCTCTTGATCTTGTGATCCGCCCACCTCGGCCGTCTAAAGTGCTGGGGTTACAGGCGTGAGCGACGGCGCTGGGCCTATTTTTTTAAATTTGTGTAAGTATTTTTAGAGACAGAATGATCTAGACATTTTGCTTTGTCGCCAGTCTAGAGCTCCTGAGCTCAAAAAACCTGCCTGACTTGGCCTCCCAAACTTCTGGGATTACAGGCTTAAATCACCTTGCCTGGCCTAGGTTTTTATTTCTATTTTAGCAAAATATACATTCATTTAAAACGCTGAGTTATTGTCTAGTGCCAATGTTTTATTTTTATTATTTTTTTTTTTGGAGATAGAGTCTTGCTCTGTCGCCCAGGCTGGAGTGCTGGGGCGCCACCTTGGCTCACTGCAAGCTCCTCCTCCCGGGTTCACGCCATTCTCCCGCCTCAGCCTCCTGAGTAGCTGGGACTACAACTACAGGTGCCCGCCATCACGCCTGGCTAATTTTTTGTATTTTTTAGAAGAGACAGGATTTCACCATGTGAGCCTGGATGATCTCCATCTCCTGACCTCGTGATCCACCCACCTCGGCCTCTCAAAGTACTCGGATTACAGGCTTGAGCCACCTCACCCGGCCTCTAGCGCCCATTATTATTGCATGATACTTACTGTTTTTCTGACTGTGTGAAAGAATAATGATAATGCTTCAATTATCATTATCTTTTTGTAAATTTAATTATCTGTCTTTTAAAGATTTTGTAATATTAACCAGTATATCCCCAAATTAACAGACAGTGCAGGAACAGTAAACATGCCAGAAAGTTTTTGTTGATTGAATTAACATAGCAGCCTAGAAAAACAATGATTCTTAGTTTTACCTTGGAGAGGTACCTTACCTTGATTTGACTGTTTTACCTTGGAGAGTAAAGGGTAGCTTTTTTCTGATTTGGATAAAGGTATGAGTTCTGCTCTAACATTTTCAAGCAGGGTCCTGCTGGAAAAGTCATTATAGATGGTTGTTGTAGTTAAAGAAAATAATGAGAGTAGAAGAGCTTAGTGAGCTTTCCTTCTCTAAACCAATCACTGGCAATTAAGAGTGTTACTGATTTTCAGATCATTCAGACTCACCTCTTGAGTCTATAGGTTGATGAAACCCTTGAAGCCTAAGCAATCTGGTGGACACTAACACCTCAGAAAATCCGACATTATTCTTTGCAAGAAAGTAGAGTTTGGAAAGCTGGACATGTGTTGATTGGAGAACAGTCATTTTTTCTAGAGGTTGATGTCTCTTTGTGCCTTAGTTTTCTATTTTTCCTATTTCTGTCGTTGCAAATTAAAGCCTATACTTCTCTAGAAAAAAAAAGGATATTATTCAATCACAACCTGATTCAAACTTTGATTGGATCTTTGTCTCTGCAGGGTAGGAGAATAAATTCTTGTGGTTTTCTTTCCTTAGGAAAATGGACTCAGACTTTTCACATGCCTTCCAGAAGGAACTCATCTGTGTCATCTGTTCGAACTACCTGGTAGACCCTGTCACCATCTGCTGTGGGCACAGCTTCTGTAGGCCCTGTCTCTGCCTTTCCTGGGAAGAAGCCCAAAGTCCTGCCAACTGCCCTGCATGCAGCGAACCATCACAGAAACAGGACTTCAAAACCAATATTCTTCTGAAGAATTTAGTGACCATCACGAGAAAAGCCAGTCTCTGGCAATTCCTGAGCTCTGAGAAACAAATATGTGGGGCCCATAGGGACACAAAGAAGATGTTCTGTGACGTGGAAAAGAGTCTGCTCTGTTTGCTGTGCTCCAACTCTCAGGAGCACGGGGCTCACAAACACTATCCCATTGAAGGGGCAGCTGAGGAACACCGGGTAAGAGAGAGCTCTGAGATCACCTGAAAGCTGGAGGGTGGCAGAATTAAAGAGATTAGAAGGACAATGAGAATCATCATGGTGATTACTCCCATCTTTACTGAGTGCCAGGTGCTGTTCTTGGTATCAATTATGACATTTTGAATAAAATGTGCAACTCTACATTCCTTCATGGAGTTTGCACCCAAAAAGAGACTGATTAAGTAAACGTCCTTATGATTGACTCTACAGTTCAATGCTAAAGGCATTGAAAAGCAACCAAAACTACAAGTGCAAAGAAACATATTTTTGAAATATATTTATATTACTGGACAAACGAGTATGGGAATAGCAAACTACAAAATCAGGGGACTAGCACAGTGGGTTCTGAAGCAGGATGTTTCACTGAACATTAGCCAGGTTACAGGAAATCTTGACTCTTCAGTTCCCAAAACTGTTGTATATTCTGAAACCTCAGAACTGAAAATATCAATTGAGGATGAGCAGTGAAAAAATTTGTTTATTTTTCTTCTCTCTAATATATTTATATATTACATCCCTTGCCTGTGTTTATCATTCAGAGTGTAGAATCTATGGTATTGGACTTTCTGTTTTTTAACCTCATAATTCTTTTGCAGGAGAAGCTCTTAAAGCAAATGAGGATTTTATGGAAAAAGATTCAAGAAAATCAGAGAAATCTAAATGAGGAGAGAAGAACAGCCTTCCTCTGGAGGGTAAGTATGATACTGTGAGTCCTCACAACCAGCTTGAGACAGGCATGCTGACAACATTTATATTAGCAACTTGAGTTGAAATTCTCATATGCCAGATTTTGTCATGTGTTTATTCATAGGCTGGAAAACAACCAGACTGTTCAATATAATGTTTGTTCAGGTTTTTTGGAAATGTTCTTCCGATAAGTAAAAAATAAATATAAATTCTGAAGGGCAAGTATGTGCTTAAAATTAATAAGTATTTCAGGCAGAGTTTTCTGAATAAGTTGAATTATGTAATATTAATTACATAGTACATAATTGAGAAATAAAGTTATTTAATCTTGAATATGATGTTGGCCAGGGGGAAGAAATCAGGTAGGAACAGTCATTTAAGAAATGTGCCTGTGCTGGTGAAGTCTGATAGCAGAGGACTCAGATGATACCAGTTCAGGTAGGATAAAATGTAACATGATGAAAAGCTGAGGAGAAGGGATAAAAAATGACTGGGGGAGTGAGAGAATAACTATCTCAATATTGAGAGGAGAGACACAATGGAATGGAGATTCATGTTCTTAGAATGGCAGCGCAATACAGAGCCTACGGCTTTTGACAGAAGAAAGATAGGAGACAGAAAAGAGGTAGTCGGTTTGAGAGTTGGGGGTTACATTTTTTACTAAGATCCTTTTTGTGTGATGGCTTCTGATTCTGATTATAAGATACTAAAATCATTTCTACTGACAGTGATTGTTTAGTCTGTGAAGTACAGAGATTTGAAACAACAAACTAATTGAGTAACAAAGATTATATATATTATCCACGACAATTTGACAATCAATCATAAATTTTAGTTGTTTTCTAATGGTATTTCAGATTTAAGAGGACATATATTTAAACATTTAAATCTAAAGCGCTAATTTGCAGGTGTTCGGGAATTGATGAATTACATAAATTTTGAAGGAAGGTCTTGTTTAACTCATCACACTGTTTGTAAATAACGGAAAATAAAAGAAGGAATGAGGAGGATGAATTTGTGGGTTCTGTGAGATGGAAGTAGGCCTGGGTATGTAACCTACAAAATCCATGTCCCTACAGGGCGATGTGGTTTTATGGGCACAGATGATCAGGAATGAGTACAGGAAGCTGCATCCAGTTCTCCATAGGGAAGAAAAACAACATCTAGAGAGACTGAACAAGGAGTACCAAGAGATTTTTCAGCAACTCCAGAGAAGTTGGGTCAACATGGAACAAAAGAGTAAACACTTGAAAGAAATGTATCAGGAACTAATGAAAATGTGTCATAAACCAGATGTGGAGCTGCTCCAGGTAAGAATGGAGGATGTCCCTTGAGATACTTTATATTAGCTGACCTTTACATCTTGGCCTTCCATTAGGTACCCAAGACATTATTTCTTCTTCTCCCACATTGATGGTGAGAGCCATATAGAGATAAACGATAACTGCTAACCTAATCATGGAAATAAACCTTTATGGAATTGTGTAACTAGATTTCCATAGAACATTTTCTACCACAAGCTTCCTCCTCCAGCACATTTCACTAAAACTGTGGAATAAAAAATTTCATGTGAAAATTCACTTTTGTCTCCAATGGATAATCCATAGAAATTATGGAAAAACTAACGTTTCCTTCTTCCTCCTTTTGGGAAGTCCTAGGTTTGAAATGCTCTTAATTTCAGCCATATTAACCTTTGGGAGCTAGCCCCGAAAAAGACTACATTGTAGACAGCTGCAGCAATGCGCAGTCACTACTCACACTTTTCTCTCTCATGCAAATTTAGGGTCCTGAATTTATCAGAAATTGATTCTGTCAGTAGGTCTTACTGGTATAATTGCTAGAGATGAGAATACATTTTAAAAGAGTTGCAGTGATAGTATATGGTAATTCTAAAGTTTTCAAAACCTAAAGACCAGATGGGCAGAATTTTTGTTTGTTTGTTTTGAGAGAGAGTCTTCTTCTGTCACCCAGACTGAAGTCAGTGGCCCAATCTCAGCTCACTGCAACTTCTGCCTCCTTGGTTCAAGTCATTCTCCTGCTTCAGCCTCCCGAGTAGCTGGAACTACAGGCATGCACCACCACATCCAGCTAATTTGTTTGTATTTTTCGTAGAGATGGGTTTTTGCTATGTTGTCCAGGCTAGTCTGGAACTCCTGACCTCAGGTGATCTATCCACCTTGGCCTCCCAAAGTGTGGGATTACAGGTGTGAGCCACCTCACCCAACAAGAATAACAACTTTCTAAAGAAGTCATTTTTTCTTTCTCTCTCCCTCTCTACAGGATTTGGGAGACATCGTGGCAAGGTATGTTTTTGGCCATCAGTGCAAGCTGGAGCACAAGGCGTGCTATGAAAACATCAAGCTGTTTCCAACAAAGTGAAAACATAATTTACTAACACCATAATGTGCCAGTGTGATTGTGTGTGTGTGTGTGTGTGTGTGTGTGTACTCATGTGTTTGTGTGGTATGTTGAATATTACCTATGCATTTTATCAGACGTTAACCTTTTCTTACTTTCCCAAGTGACTGTGGGAGTTATGTTTTGAAGAGTTCAATGCAGAAGTCGCTAGAATACAATTGCCTGGTTTTAGGATTCAGAATCCTAATTAGAGATAAACTATTTGGTGGCAGATAGGGAGAGAGGCATTTATCTTTCAGTGGCAGTCAGTTAGAAATGGAGTGAATAGTTAGAAAGATTCCCTAAGAGCCTCAAACCCATCCTAGGATTGTGAGGGTACATTACAATATCAGAAGTGGATTTGAATGAAGCATTTTCTGTTGGAATCTATTTCTTAAACACAGATATGGGAAACTTAACCAACTCAACCAACTTCCTTGCAGGAGTGAGTCTGTGCTGCTGCACATGCCCCAGCCTGTGAAGCCAGAGCTCACTGCAGGGCCCATCACTGGACTGGTGGACAGGCTCAACCGATTCCGAGGTGAGTGTCGCCCTCTTGGTGGGATCAACATGCAATGCCTTCATTCATGGTTTTCTATGGGCAGCTTTACCAGTGTAATCATCTTTCATCTAGAAGAAGAGAATAGTCTGTGAATAGGTATTTATATTTATAGTTTCACTATCATCAAACTGACAAAAATAAATAAAATCTGGTGAAATGTAACAGGAATCAGCCACATAACAAATTTCTTAGAAAAATAAAATATGCAGAAGGGCCCTTTAGGACTTTAGGAAGCATTCCCTGATACAATTTCTTGTATACAGTTGTTACATGAAATATACAGAACTAAATTAATTTAGGACATTTCAATTTCAAATTTAGTGCAGTTAACAACTGATTTGAGTGACAGTGTTTTTTAAAATACATTTCAGGTGAAGTTTCATAGCATTTATAATTTTAGTCATGTTTTTAATCAACGAAAGCATACATCAGTAACTTATATAACAGCACCAAAACCGAGAATCTGTGAACCATAGAAACGTGATTTGGTGGTTGATGAGGCCTGAGATAGAACTCCAGGATAGATCATGATAAATCCAGCAGATTAAAGCAGCCTGTGCCTGAATCTGCCATGAAAGTCAGATAATTCTTGCAAGGAATCTGCACTTCAGAAGGCAGATTCAGATTTTTTCTTTAAGTATGAATTTGCTAGCTTCAGTGACAGATTATAATATTTCTGGCAAAATGGTGACATTTTATTTGGGTCTAAGAATGTTCCCCACCTCATCTCCTGTCCCCAGTCTCCTGCTCCGCCCTGACAGAGAAGAGGCGATGGAGGTTAATTTTATTGCTATGGACTTGGCTGCAGGGCTAGAGCTTCCAGTTTTTCAGTTGTTACGAAAGGTCGTTGAACTAGACATAGACATGACCTTCCTCCCCTTTATACTTTTTGAGTTTATAGAAACTGTGATCATTGTAGTTTGGCCAATTACTTGTGCAGATATACTAACACCCTTTGATTCCAACATTTTTCCAGACAGAAGTTTCTTTCTAATCTTGACCTGTGTTTTCTAGTGAGAGTCTCTTTCTTATCTGAACATGAGAATTTATAAACTACTTTTCACTTGAACATTCTCTTTTTTCTACAGTGGAAATTGCCTTCACTTGGGAAGTAACCAATCACAATATCAGGCTGTTTGAGGATGTGAGAAGTTTGATGTTTAGTCGTGGATCTTTGAATTCCGACAGATCTGACTATTTTGCTGCATGGGGAACCTGTGTCTTCTCCTCTGGGAAACACTACTGGGAGCTGGATGTGGACAGCTCTTGGGACTGGGCTCTGGGAGTCTGTAAGGACTCCTGGATAAGGAAGAATGGCACAATGGTTACATCTAAGGACATATTTCTTCTTTTGTGTGTGAAGGTGGATAATCGTTTCAGTCTCTTGACCACCTCCCCAATGTTTCCTCACTATGTAGAGAAACCTCTGGGCCGGGTTGGTGTGTTTCTTGATTTTGAAGGTGGAAGTGTGAGTTTTTTGAATGTCACCAGGAGTTCCCTCATATGGAGTTACCCGGCTGGCTCCTTAAATTTTCCTGTCAGGCCTTTCTTTTCCACTGGCCACAGATGATCAGGATTAAGAGACCTGACTGTTTGGGAGCCCCATATACAAGGGACCCCTTCACTGTTGATACAAAGAAATCATACTGTTCAGGCTTTCATCTATGTTAGTGTCACTTCGTTTTGTTGCTATTAAATAGAAAATATGTAAAATGCAGAACTTTTTTGTACATTTTCTTACAATTGAAATAATGTCCTATGGCCCATTTCCTAAAATATGTATTGCGATTTTCAAGTGTTTGTGAATTTATTGGATGGAATTCTGGAAATATGTGGGTGTATGATTCCAACTTAATAATCTCGTGCAGGAACAAAATTTGCACATTATGGACAGACAGGATTTTGTACAATGCACTTGTAAGTGTGAAAGTTCCCTCCTATTAATTCAGTAAATTCTACACCTCATCACTTTAGGGGGAAAAATGTACTTTACACAGAAGTTTTCACTGAATCTTTGGGCTAGAATAGGAACTTAACAGTCATGCATCCTATGGAGACAAAATACATTCTGAGAAATGCATTATTAGGCGATTTTATCATTGTGTGAACATCAGAACACACTACAAAAATCTACATAGAATATCCACCTACAGACATAGGCTAATGGTACAGCCTATTGCTTCTCTGAGAAGTTGCTAGCAATGTCTGAGCAGGAACCAAAAGGATTTAACCCACATGGAATTCTGTAGCTGTTTATTAAAGCAAACAGCATCACCCAGGGAAAAATAGACAGATGAGCAGACTGTCTGTTTTAAATGTGTTTATACTTCCAATTCACACAGACTGAATCCTCATTGATAATCTAGAGACCTGAGACATAACCATTACCTCATGTTACAGTGGAAACATATTAGTATCAGGGGGAAAAAAAAACAACTAACTAAGTTAAACCAAATCAAAAAGCAAAAAAAAAACATAACCCAGTTCTGATGAAAACCCAGTTTATAGTGAGTCCATTGAGTCTGTCTGCCCACCAAATGGTCATTTTCATGATCACTGATTAAATAATGGAAACAAACATTCTACTTCCAGTCCAGCAGATGATCCTGGCTGATGTCTGGGGTTCCTTGGTTGGGGCTGTTACATAGAATATATTCAAACGGCCTCTCCAGGTAGTTGCTTGGCCTTGCTCACAGCATGGTAGATAATTTTCCACAGTGAAGATTCCACCACAGTCAGGAGAATCTATACTACCATTGTGCTACAGAGCAAAACATCAGCTGCTGATCACAACCCTACACAAAGTAAAGGGACTAGAACACACACAGCAGTAGCAGTCTTGAAGTTACATCACAGAAAGACGGTGGGACTGAATATATATTTTAGCACTTTTTAGAGAGAATGGGAGAATAGCCTACTACACCTACTCTTCCTAAGAAGTGGACATTGAGGATCTATATCCAGAGACTCAGAGTCCTGTAAAACATGAATCCAGCAGGCCTTACAGAAACACCATTCCAAGTTCCAGATTCCTGTAAAGGCATCAACTTAATTAACCACGTTAATATTCTTTTGGAAATTTTCTTCAAGATTTGGTATCAACTGGACAATCATTATGAACACAACTTCAGCAAATCACTGGGGTAGATGCACACGATGCTGGAGTAGAGGGTGGAAGGAGTGGTCCATCTCCTTCAAGATGACCATGTACAGACACAGTAATTCTAGGACAGTGAGATAAAAGGGTCAGTGAATCCTTGTGGAACCCTCTTCACAGTGTCTATATGTGGCTGCAAACTATTCATGCAAGCTTTCTGAATGCCTTGTGCTTCAAGATTTCTTGATATTAAGAGTCACTGACTGGGGTTCATAGTACATAGAATACTTTCAGCATGAGAGGGTGACAAAGTCTTTCCCTCAAAAGCCAAGTTCAGAAACCTGTAGCGAGTCATCCACTGGACCTTGCAGTAAGTGTGGACTGAAGAGAGAGACATTGGTTTTAAGCTCAGACAAAAGCTGTTCCATTGTAGACTCTCATACTCAAAGGAAGGTGAGGCTGAGTCCTGCTGACTCTTCATTCTTCCAGACTGGCAAGTTTTGATGCTGACTCAGAGATATGTTCTCTGTTTACTAAATCTAATGTCTATTAACATTCTGCTGCAAAAAGAGATAGGCCGTGTCTATCACAGGCTACCCTGTGCCTGTGATCCTCACCTCTGGCCCTTACTGAACCATGATGCCTGCCAGAATCACTCTGAAATTCTTCTGTGCCTCTGTCAGTCTTCTGGCCCAGTTCTCAGAACACAGGTCCCTGTCTATCTGCTTTCCAATGATCTGTCCTTGCCCTTCAAATTCACAACATAAGAAAAGTTAGTCATTAAAATATCCCAGAATGAAATAGGGGTTGCCTGTTTTATCTGAGATCAGTGTGCTGATGCAGGACCCTAAGGGAGGAGGAGAAAGCAAAAGTTGATGCCTTTGAAACTGTAGTGCCTTATGATATCTAAAAGGGTAAAAGGTATTCGGGGTTAACTAATGGCAACAGAAAGAGGACAGTCAAGTTCAGGCACATATGAAGAAAGAGAGTTTCTATCAGTGTCTGACACAAAGTAAAACTCTTCACAGATGTACATAAATGTCAGAAAAGTAAAGTTTGGTGAGGAAAAGCAAAGTTGTAGAGAACAAAGGGATACTGATAAAGAAGACAAGAACCAACATTTCCTGCACATGTCAAAATAATTATTGAGTCATTTACATTTCCTGGAAATTGGCATGAGGTTTCCACTGTGTATTTTCCACAGTGAAAAGTCAGGCGGGGAAGTAATATGGTATCATGGTTTGAAGCGATGTCTTGAAGCTAAATTGCCTGGGTTTGACTCCCAAACTCACTGCTCATAATCCTCATTCCCAGGCTCATTTCCCGGAGCAAAGTGCCTTTCTCAATGCCTTATGTGTGGGTGTGGGATACGCATTTTTTGTTCGCATTGTCTTAAATACATTTCAAAAGTTTTTTGTTTTGTATTTTGAATATTTAATTAAATATATTTTCTTCATTGTTTTCTTTAGTGCATGTATTTGCAGAAACTATAAAAAGAGGGGAGGGAATATGTTTTTCTAATGATATTTAAAACAACTAGTAACAATTGAAATTAATTTTAATAACACTTTCCCCACTTCAATATATCCAAATGTTTTCAACATAATAAACATGACAAATATTAGTGAGATATTTTATATTCTTTTTTTTGAGACAGAGTCTGGCTTTGTCGCCCAGGCTGGAGTGTAGTGACTACATCCTGTCTGGCTGCAGTGTCAACCTCCCGGGCTATAGCAATCTTCCCCTCAGCCTCCCAGTACCTGGGACTACAGGTTGTATGCCACCATGCTCCACTAATTTTTTATTTTTTGGAGAGACGAGGTTTCGCAATGTTACTGTGCTTGTCTCAAACTCCTTTCCTGTGTCCACCTCTCAATGTGCTGGACCGTGGGGCTTGAACAATGCATACATTTTAGGAAGAAATTCCTAAGCCTACTTCGGTTTAAAAGAAGGAGTAGATTGGAATTACTTTCTTTAGATTCAATCGTTTCTAAAACTCTAAATTAGACTCAAGTATTAAAGACCCCAGGAAGACAATTTTAGAAGAAAAGTTTTCAAAGTGAGCCAGGCTAGATGCTTTATAATTGAGCATTCACTGGATATATCTTGGCATCCTGATGGACAACACTGAGGGTTTCTATTTTTTTAAATAATGTGAAAGACAGAACTTACTCATATACACTGTTAGAATTTCCAGGATGAAACTTTTCTTAAAACACTTCTCTACGTTCTTTTTATGTATGTATTTTTTTGAAAAATTTAAACTATGCATGGATACACTCTTTTTTTTCCCTCTTTTCTTTTTTTTTCTTTATTATTATTATACTTTAAGTTCTAGGGTACATGTGCATAACATTTGAGTTTTATTACATATGTATACTTGTGCCATGTTGGTGTGCTGCACCCATCAACTCGTCAGTTCCCATCAACTCGTCATTTACATCAGGTATAACTCCCAATGCAATCCCTCCCCTTCCCTCCCATGATAGGCTCCGATTGTGTCATGTTCCCCTTCCACAGTCCAAGTGATCTCATTGTTCAGTTCCCACCTATGAGTGAGAACATCACGGTGTTCCAGTTTTCTGTTCTTGCGATAGTTTGCTGAGAATGATGGTTTCCAGCTGCATCCTGTCCTACAAAAGGACACAAACTCATCTTTTTATGGCTGCATAGTATTCCATGGTGTATATGTGCCACATTTTCTCCAATCAAGTCTGTCACTGATGGACATTTGGGTTAGTTCTAAACACACTATTGTGAATAGCGCCGCAATAAACATACATGTGCATGTGTCTTTATAGCAGCATGATTTATAATCCTTTATTAGATTAGGTTTCTTCAGTTTCAAAGGCAAAACCTAGTCCTTTTGATTAGCTCTATTATTTTATAATTGATTTGTCAATTAAGTAAAAAATAACTTCAACAAATACATTCCAATGATGAATAAGTAAATCAGATGTCTGATGTCATTATACAATGTTACTTTTTTTCTTTTGAGATGGAGTCTGGCTCTTTCACCCAGGCTGGAGTGAAGTGGCAGGATCTTGGCTCCTGTAACCTCCACCCCGGGAGTTCAAGCAAATCTCCTGCTGGGATTACAGGTGCCTGCCACTATGCCCAGCCTAGTACTATTTTGAGAAGAGGGGGTTTCTCCATGCTTGCCAGGCTGGTCGTGAACTCCTGATCTCAGGTAATTCGCCAACCTCGGCCTCCCAAAGTGCTGGGATTATAGATGAGCCACCACAGCGAGCCTGATGTTTTGGGAGTCCACATAAAGTGACTTTATAATTACTTTGCTCTTTATTAAAACTAACATATATGAACAACAGTGCATTTCTACTTTTATCTGTAATACTATATTTTCCATGATTTTTAAAAAGTAGAAGACTTTTTTTTTTTTTTTTTTTTGAAATGTTGTCTCGCTCTCTTGCGCAGTCTGTGTGCAGTGGCACAATCTGGGTTCACTTCATCCTCTGCCTCCTAGGTTCAGGAGATTCTCCTGCCACAGCTCTGAGTAGCTGGGACTACAGGTCAGTGCAACTATGCCAGCCTGTTTTGTATTTTTATTAGTTACAGGGTTTTGCCATGTTGGTCAGGCGTGTCTCAACTCCTGACCTCAAAGGATCAACCCACCTCAACTTCCCAAAGTGTTGAGTTAACTCCCTACACCATGCTAGTT